CCCTGTAGCTAGTTTGAGCTCATTTTGTGCCTTTTGCTTTTCTAATCTTACCCCTGCATTCCTGTGTTGTTGTTTGCCTATATTCATCCTTTGTAATTTTGTCCTAGTTTCCATTTTTTATATGACCTCTTTTTATTTTTTAGATCATGCAAGATCTCGTGGTTAAGCCAAGGTGGTCTTTTGCCACATTTTCTATCTTTCCTACCCAGCGGAATAGCTTGCTTTTGGGCCCTTAATAGTGTCCCTTTGAAAAACTGCCAACTCTCCTCAGTTGTTTTTCCCCTCAGTCTTGAGTCCCATGGGACCTTACCTATCAGCTCTCTGAGCTTACCAAAATCCGCCTTCCTGAAATCCATTGTCTCTATTTTGCTGTACTCCCTTCTACCCTTCCTTAGAATTGTGAACTCTGATTTCATGATCACTTTCACCCAAGCTGCCTTCTACTTTCAAATTCTCAACGCGTTCCTCCCTATTTGTTAAAATCAAATCTAGAACAGCTTCCCCCCAGTAGCTTTTTCAACCTTCTGAAATAAAAAGTTGTCTGCAATGCAGTCCAAGAACTTATTGGATAGTCTGTGCCCCGCTGTGTTACTCTCCCAACATATATCTGGATATGTTCTATTCACACGTTTGCGAGGCATTATGCGCTGAGACATGACTCTGCTGCTGATGCCTCCTTCAGGACAGCGGTTCTCTGCTCAACCCTATCATCCATATCCTTGTACCCTCCTCGTACTTAGGTACTGCTTGTCAATCACCCATAGTGCAATACAATAGGAACCATCACTCGAAGAAGAAAAGGAGGTTGCTTACCTGTAACTGAAGGTTCTTCGAAATGTGTGGTCCCTATCTGTATTACACTAACTGCCCTCCTTCCCCATTGCTTCGGATCTTCTCTGATTCCCGGTGGACAAGGAACTGGAGAGGCAGTCGATCTGCCCCACCCTTTATCACCTTGCTCAGAGGCACAAGGTGAGCCAGGGCGCATGCACAGACCAAAGAACACTACTTTCCATTTCTCTGGCTCCAGGCGTATGGTGTGCATGCATAATCTCACTGTAGAATACAGATAAGGACCATGCAGGTTAGTAACCTCCTCTTTCAGAGCCAAAGATGTTTAAAGTAACAGGTTGTGATATGTAGCAGAGGTGAAATAAATGCTTCTATTCTCGGTTCTTCTGTTAAGCATGTGATTTTATCAATATACTGTGGAAATAGTTCAGAAACTAAGAACAATGGTATTGTTATGTATAGTCACTAAGAATACTGGTGTTTTTAAGGTTGACTTTGAAATGATATTTTTAGGTAGAGAGACAAGGTGTATGAGGTAATATCTTCTATTGGACTAACTTTTGTTGGTGAAAGAGACAAACATCAATCTTACACAGAGCTCTTGTGGCTTTTATTTAAGACTTAAGTTAGCTGGCTAAGTATTATGAAATCAAAAAGTAATGCAAAACATTCATAACTTATTTGTTCCAATTCTTCTTTCCATGTTGTTTAAAACTATGTTACAAAATGCTAAAAAAGGTTGTGAGAACTTCAGTTATGCCTGCAACAAGGTAGCGTCTCCCTTGACATAGTGTCATCTCCTAGGCCAGGACAAAGATGCCCCTCCTATGACTTCTCCTTTTATACATTGTTACTGTCATAAACAGACAGTTAAGGGTTAATTCCTCTTTTACCTGTAAAGGGTTAAGAAGTTCACAATACCTAGCTAACACCTGACCAGAAGGACCAATAAGGGAACAAGATACTTTCAAAGCTGGGAGGGGGGAGCACAGTCCTTTTGTCTGTTCTGTGGGTGCTTTTGCTGGATGGGGAGAAGGAACCATCCCACTCCTAACAGGGTAGTGAGTAATTAGAGAAGGAATGTATTAAATTACTTTTATTTCTATTTGTGATTTCTTTTTGCAAAATAGAGGGAGAATCAAATTAGGTTTTTGTGTAACTTCAAGGTTTTGCCCAGAGGGAAATCCTCTGTGTTTTGAATCTGTTGTCTGTGAGATCATCTTGCTTTCTAATCTCAGAGGTATTCCTTTCACCCTTTTTCTTTAATTAAAAGTCTTCTTTTAATAACCTAATTGATTTTTCCTTGTTTTAAGATCCAAGGATTTTGGATCTGGGCTCACCAGGAATTGGTGGGGGGAATTTTCTTGAGTCTACCCAGGAAAAAGGGTATAGAGACTTGGGGGAGGGAAATTAGTCAAATCCTGCCAGGAAAGGGGGGATAAGGACTGGGGAAATATTTGGGGGAAGGCAGAGTTTCCAAATGGCTCTCCCTCAAACGTTTTTTTAAAACATTTGGTGGTGGCAGCGACTGTTTTGCCTAAGCTGGTAAAAATAAGCTTAGGGGTTATTCATGCAGGTCCCCACATCTGTACCCTAAAGTTCAGAGTGGGGGGGGGGGACACCTTGACCGTTACACACCAGTTGCATATTACATTCCAGATGTTGTTACCACCTTGTACCCTATAGTTTGAACAAAACATTTTCATCCTTATCTTTATGAGGAGTCTGTGTTCTTGTACCATCCTGTCTGGTCAGGAATGTGCTTACTTGGTTAGGTGATACTTAGATGTTACAATTCTGACAAGGCCTATTTTGGTTCACCGCCTTTGGTTCGTACTGTTAGCCATGCGTAGCGCTCTAGCAAGGCCTACACCAGATACCGAACTTATGTTGTTGGGCATAAAAGGCGCAAACCAGGAGCCTGAAACAGGCAGTGGAGACAAGTTTCATACACTTTATGTGTTTCACAGCAAAGGAGGGATTGAAAACTGTTGTTAAAGGAAGACAGGACCATCATGAGAAAGACATGAAGGACATAAACATCACTTGAGGGTATATCTATACTAGTCAGAGGACACACATTTGTAACTTGATCCTGTTAGAATAGTTTTGGGGGGCTTGTTAACGTAAGTGGGACTTAACATATTATTATGTAATCAGGCTAATAATTCAGATATGATCAAGAAGCCTGATTACAGAATGTTGTTAAGGAACACAATCACCCATAGATCTCCCTTATAAAGAGAAATACCAAAAGCGCCAACTGGCAGAGGGCATAAGAGGTGTACAGGGGTTTACAGGGATCCCCTGGGTCTGATGTCTGCATAATAGTGAGCCAGAGGATGTTATGTGAAGTCTCTACTAACAGCCAGTAACACATTGGTCATCTTAATCATTGCAAGATGTCTGTATGGATGATATTTAAATAGTTATCTGTTGTGACAGACCCAGACCAGTGGGGTACAGGAGTCTGGTAGAGGGCAAATATACTGGTCACTGGATGAGTAGTTTTCTGTTCCCTGAGTGACCAGAGCAGGGGCTGCACTAGTGTAATCAGGAACCTGCTAGAACCAGTTAAGACAGGCAGGATAATTAAGACACCTGGAGCCAATTAAGAAACTGCTAGAATCAATTAGGACAGGCTAGCTAATCAGGGCACCTGAGTTTAAAAAGGACCTCACTTCAGTTTGTGGTGTGCATGTGAGGAGCTGGGAGCAAGAGGCACAAGGAGCTGAGAGTGAGAAGACATATTGCTGGAAGACTGAGGAGTACAAGTGTTATCAAACACCAGGAGAAAGGTCCTGTGGTGAGGATAAAGAAGGTGTTGGGAGGAGGCCCTGGGGAAGCCCAGGGAGTGTAGCTGTCATGCAACTGTACCAGGAGGCACTCTAGACAGCTGCAGTCCACAGGGCCCTGGGCTGGAACCTGGAGTAGAGGGTGGGCCCAGGTTCCCTCCAAACCTCCCAACTCCTGATTAGACACAGGAGGAATTGACCTGGACTGTGGCTTCTACCAGAGGGGAAGGTTCTCTGAGCTGTTATCCGACCCACATGGTGAATCTGTGAGGCGAGCAAATCTGCCAATAAGCGCAGGACCCACCAAGGTAGAGGAGGAACTTTGTCACACTGTCTCTATTGAAAACTGTGTTCTTCAGGTATGTGAGTTAAGACAGGGTACCAGAAGGTGATTTAAACAGGTTCTGTTTAGGCAGGGGGTAGTAGATGCTTATCTCTCTGGTTAGTCAAAGTGTATTTTGTGGCTTACAATTTAAGACTTTTTACATTACTGAGCCTGATGCTAATGAAGAGATTGTGAATTCACATAAGAGAAGATCTGCAGGAAAAAACAAACACAGCAGGGGGCATCGTGTTTGATTAAAGATAATGGATTTTTGGGGTATAACTTGTGGGTACTGAGGTACACCCAGAATCCTTCACTGAGGAGAGGAACTGTCAGTGTGTTCTGTCTTGCAAAAGGAGGATCACAGCCAACCTGGCTGGAAAACACTGCTAAGACTTTAGGTGAGCTAAACTTCTTTAGGCAAGACAGCATGTTGTTAATTAAGTCTAGGCCCTAGAAGGCATGTTATGATTTTATTTTATGTGTAACCATTTGTTTCCAGTATTTCCACTTGCTATTATTTTAATGTCTAGTCTTTGTTAAATAAACATTTGCTTGATTTCAATGTAAATGTAAGTGTTGTGGGTTAAATGGAGCGGTGATCTGAAGGGAAACTGGTAAGCAGGTGTGTATTGTTCCTTTGGAAGCAACTCATTGCTCCAGGAGGATACATGGAGAGCTCGAGGGTTGGAGTGTGCCTATCACTGACCTGTAGAGAGAGAGGAGGGCCTGCTTAAGCCTGGAAGGGAGTGCTTGTGTTGCCTGTGGCCAGCAGAATTGGGGAGCTTACCTCTGACAGGTACAACAAGGCTTCCTCATGCTAAGGGCAGCTGGTAGCGAGGCGCCTTGCTGGGTACTCTGAGAAGCATCACACATACCCATTACATACAAGTAATTGTTATGCAGTATCACTAAGCTTAGTGGTTCCCCATGGGATGTCCTGATGAAAGGTATTTCTTTGTTAAGTGTATCTGTGTCAAGTTGTGTGTGCTATATTAGCACTGCTTGTTTAACAACTACATGTAATCAGACTTATCACAGTGGTGATTTGATTTTCTTAAGGGATTTGTTCACTTTCCCTTTTCCAGGCACTAATGGGGAAACCTTTCCAGCTTTCGAAGAAGTTAATTTATCTTCACAGCCACCACCATCTGCAAGGGAGAGGAGACGAATAAAGAAGAAAGCAATGGAATTTACTGTATGTATGAAATGTTTCTCTCCCCACCCCTGCACCTCTCTTCTGCATTTGATGAAGAAACCTCAGGGGTTTCTGAGAAGAGAGACTAATATGAGTAGTGGTATGGAAAAACTGTTGTATAGAGAGATTGAGAAGATTGGGGTAGTTTACTTTACAAAGGAGACTAATAAGAGGGGACATGATAAAAGTATATAAAATAATGATTGGTACAGTATAGAGAAGATAGATTGGGAGCTTCTGTTCTCTCTTTTATAACACAAGAACAAAGGAACAATCAATGAAATCAAAAGGTGACAACTGAAATCTGATGAAAGGAAATCCTTTTTTTTTTCTTTTTTTTTCTTTTTTACATGATATGTAGTTAAACTGTGGAACTCATTACCACAGGATGTCATTGAGACCAAAAACTTAGCAAGATTCAAAAAGGAACTAGACACTTATATCTACAGTTACAGTAGCTAATGCTTGGAAGAGATATTAAACCTTTTTTTTCAGGGCAAATTAATTTCTAACTATTAGGAATTGGAAGGAGATTTGCCTATTGTGGAGTTTCTTGCATCTTACTCTGAAACATTGGTATTGGCCACAGTCAGAGAGAATCCAGTAGACTAGATGACAATTACTGTGTTCCTTATTTCAGTAGGTGACATATTATATGGCTGTAGATTATGTGTATATACATAATATACATGGGTTGTATACCTAGTGGCCCTTCAGCAGGAGTGTCATATTTACTGAAATCTTCCCATGTTTTCTAAATCTGCAGGATGATGTCCCTTTTAGCAAGTCACCACCACCACAGCCTGACAGCTTCTCTTTGCACTCAAGCTCCAGTCTCAATGTTGATCTGCTGAAAGCCAGGAATGAAGAACGATTGCGAAGATTGAATGAGTTGCAGAAGAAATCTGTTAACCTAGGTATGACTTTGTTGGATGTTAAAGATAAAGAAACAGATATTAACAGACAAACTACTTGTAGACTAAACAAGAAGAAATTGGCTAAGACAGTCAAATTAGATTATTTTGACATAATTTAATACTCTACATCACTGGTTTGCTGGAAAATCAGTTGATAAAAAAGGTTTGAATTGAAGTTTGTTGCAAGTTTTGAGAGGTCAGGGATATAATAAGGAAAATGAAAGGATATGTGATACCAACTCAAGACGTGTGTTGTGACTACGATAGTGGTACAACCTAATATCTGATGCGTCTGTGAAAAGAACTAAAACTCTTCAATAAAACCCATAATGCAGCTGGCCAATTGAGCCATGAATATGGAAGCTATATTCTTTTTTACCCCCTGTGGAGCTCAGCGCATGCTATGAAGCATAATGTTTCATTACTCCAGTCTTGGCACAAGTAGCTACAGATTATGTTGGTGATAAAATTCTCAAATTGCAGTATTGAACTCGGAGCTGCTGTCACAAAGAATTCCACAGGCTGACTTTATGGAGAAGCATTTCCTTTTTGTTCTGAAAGTGTCTGGTTTTAATTACATGTACTGATTTGTCCCCCAGTCAGTATGTTGGGACATACTCAGTTGCGCTGAAAATACTCTTTGGCATAAGTCTCAAATCCCATCTTCAAGTATAAACTAATCAACATCCTGTCTAAGCAGTTTTAAAACCAGTATTTTTTTTTATTTGACAGCCATTATTCAGAAGGCATCACAAAATGCTTTACAAACTGTATGTATTTGATTTTGTAGCAAATGGTACTCTTACAACCAGAGTTGTTCTTGTCATCACTGGCTCACTGTAATTTTCATCCAATAGAGCAACAGTGGTGAAAAACCCAGCATGCTTGACTTTCTTTGTGCTTTTACTCTGCCTTCTATTCATTTCTGTCTTCTTTGCGGCTAAACTCTTTCCAAACCCTCCTTATGCCATACAATTCAAATACATCTTCACCATATTCAGTCCTCTGCTGTCTATCTACCCAACTTCTTTTCTTGTTCAATCACACCCCCCATGGTTTCACTTAATATTGTGTGAACAAAGTTGCTATTAATTATATATAACTTGGTTGGTCTTTTTTTTGAGCCAGTCTCCACCTTTTCTTCCTTTGCTACTTTGACTGCCGTGTCTCTGAATGAGGGTCTTCCTTCTTCTTATCCATTTATGTTAACTAGTAGTATTTTACTAGATTTAAAAAGTTGGATTTTACAATGGCATTTAGTGTAATCTAAGCACAGCCTGTCTGTCTTTTAGTGATTGTCCACGTGGATTCCATTCTTGGTGCCCATGAGACTTATGCATGCGAGATCAGATTCTTTTGGCCAGCATTGTCTTTGTGACCCCTCCCCACTCCAGGTCATAAAAGATGGAGACGGTCCAGCCATCCCTTGGCTCCTTCTTTTCCCCTATGGCAGCAAGATGGAACCCTTCCAGTGTCCACCTGCTTTCCTAGCGATAAACACTGTCCTGTTACTGAATTGTTAGTTACGAGTAAACTGGTGTTAGTTGATAATGTAGATAAGGGATTCCGAAATTGCAATACGCATACCCCTGAGGGTACGTGAGACATCTCTGGGGACTATGGGGGAGAAATTGCGTAATGGTGGTTTTTATTTATTTATTTATTGATTGCATTTTCATAATAGGCTACTCAAATGAAGCTTTAAAACGCTGTGGGAATTAGTTATCTAAAATACAGCAGTTAATTTACTTCAAGATGTACCAGTGAGAACAGGTACCTAGAGACTCTCACGTACAGAGCCCTCACCTCTAGTCACTGTACAGTGCGTGTTCAGTTGCCCAGCAACTGTCCAGTCTAGCTGAGCTCAGAATTAGTCCCTTCTAATGGATTTGAGTGTTTCTGCTCTCACCCAGTGCCAGGATCTCTGGTTGTAGATGCTATCCAGGAGAAGTCCAAACAACAAGGACATCTCAAGCCAACAACTAGTGAGAAGGACCCTGAAAAGTTGGTCTTATTTGGATGTAAAATCTACTTATCACCCAGCCTCCAAATGAGAGTAGCTAATAATGAGGTACTTCTCACAAAGTACAGTTACTTCCACTGGGACAAGCTGTTTCAATTTACAAGCAGGTTTCCTATGGAATATAAGGAAGAGTTAGAATCTATAATGAACAAAAGGCAGCTGGTAGCTTGCATGTCCCTACATGCAGCTCTAGATGCATCTGATACAGTGGCACACATTGTGGCCACATCTGTGGTGATGAGAAGATAGTCCTGACTACGAGCATTTGGGATACCCAGAGTGGTTTCAACCACTTGAAGCTCAGCCAAAGATATCAGTAAGAGCATGCCTCCGACTTCTGGGACACGTGACCTCATGCACCTACTTAATGTGGTTTGCCAGACTTCACCTACTCTCCATTCCAGGGTGGTTGAAATCAGCGTATCTACTCACGAGGCACCAAATGAACATGGAGGTCATGGTCCCTTAAAGCAGCCGCTCCTTGTTAAACTGGTGGAAAGACCCTCGTCATGTGTGCAATACAGTACCCTTTTCTGCATCTCGACCTACCAAAACTGGTGACAGATGCCTCCAAACAGGTTGGGAGAGCTCATTGACATAATCTTTAAACTCAGGGTATGTGTTTCCTTCAGGAATCTCACCTATACATAAATGTCTAGAGTGGAGAGCCATCCATCTGGAGATATAAAACATTTCTGCTTTTACTCCATGGTCCACAGTCCGGGTGCAGACAGACAGACACCACAGTTATGCATTTTATCAGTAGACAGAGAGGAGCCAGGTCATCTCTGCTCTGTCAGGAAGCTGTTTGACTTTGGAATTGGTATATTCATCTCCAGATCATACCACTGGCCCTGCATCTGCCAGTCATTCAGAACTCTCTAGCCATTTACTTCGGTAGACAGTTCAGATAGCGATGAGGAGTTGATCAAGGATGCAGTGTTGCAGAACTTTTTTTTCAGGTGGGGTTATCCATCAGTAGAGCTACTTGCCACAGACCAGAACAAGAAATGTCAAGTGTTCTGCTCCAGAGGGGGCTCCAGTCCTGGCTCCCTGTCAGATGCCTTTCTCATCCCCTGGATACCAGGACTGATACATGCTTTTCCCCTGAGTCCCATGCTACTGAGGAAACTGAAAGATTTGCAGCATTGGCCAGACAGTTTGGAATTCAGATCTGGTGAACCTCTCAACGTAAGCCCCAAACACTGTGGCTGCTCTGTCTGACATAGTCTTGCAGACCAATGGTCAGATCCTGCACCTGGACCCCAATCTGCTACATCTGGCAGCCTGGATGCCAGCTGGGTGACATCCACCAAAAGCTGTGCCAAAATTCTACTCCAAAGCAGGAAAGCCTTAAACTAGACTTGAAAAAGCTAAGGAGAAGTTTTTTGTTTGGGCATCTCAGAATCAGCTCTCTCCTTTGACATCGCCCATTTCAACATCTACTAGCCCTTAAGCAATCTGGAGTTTGTCAGCTCCATAAGGGTACATCTAGCAGCAATATATGCATATTACCCTCTGTAGCGAGGCGGTGGGATACCCCACAGCCCCGCTGAGGGCCGAACCTCCCCTAACACCAACGTGGGCGGAGCCACCAGGTCCAGCGCCTGCCCCTCAGAGGTCACGGCGCCGACCCGGAAGTATAAAAGCCCGCCTGCAGAGCTCAATGGAGAACAAGCCGGCGGAGAGAGCAGACGTCTGTGGCCGAGCTCCCATTTGGGAGACAGCAGCAGGCCGCGACCGGCCTGCTGACTCACCAGGCCAGCCGAGCCTATCCCTTGCCCGTTACCCTGAGGAGGACTGGCCGAGCCTGCCCCTTTCCCGCTATCCCGAGGAGGAGCTGAGCCTGCCCCTTTCCCGCTATCCCGAGGAGGAGCCGAGCCTGCCCCTTTTTCGCTATCCCGAGGAGGAGCCGAACCTACCCTTCGCTATCTACCCGGAGGAACAGATGCTCGTGGAGACCACCGAGGACACTAGTATGGCCCAGGTACCCTACGAGGGAGAGTGTGGAAGTAGCCCGGGGGCAGCCGACCCCAGTCTGGCTGCAACGCTGCCAGAGCCTATGTCAGTGTGTTGCGGCCAGGATCCCCACTGACAGCAGCGAGTTTCCGCTGTTGCTAGGGCCCCGGGCTGGGACGCAGTGGAGTGTGAGGGCCTGCGTCCCCCCTGCCACCCACCCCTTGGGTGGCAGGCTCCCCCTTTTTCCTGGCCTAGCGAGGCTGGGACCTCTCGCTCATAGACTCAGCCCCTGCTTAAGGGCCTGAGTTCCTGGCTATTTGATTGCTGCCCCGCCCTGACCTAGGGCCTGGGCCGCTACAAACACTGACTCAGCCCTTGCTTGAGGGCCTGAGCTCCAGACTGTGTGATTGCTGCCCCGCCCTAATTGAGGGCCCGGGGCTTTTTCTGACCTATTGGCTCAGCCCCTGACCGTGTGTTTGCTATCCCACACTACCGCTGGACCAGGACTGACGGCGGACCAGAGCGAGGCGGTGGGATACTCCACAGCCCCGCTGAGGGCCGAACCTCGGCCGAGACTTCTACACCCTCTATACAGGGTCATTCTGTATTTTCCAACCCTATAGTGACAGGGTTCCCTAGGGTACATAATAGGTTTTTCCCTCTGTTTAGGAGCCCCTTTCCTCTTGAGACCTCAATATAATATTAGCAAGGTTGATTGGCCCCCTCCCTGTTTTGAGCCGTTAGTATCCTGTTCCCTATATCACTTTCCATTAAGGGCAGGTCTATACTTACTTCCTGGTCCGGCCGTAAGCAATCGATCTTCTGGGATCGATTTATTGCGTCTTGTCTAGACGCGATAAATCGATCCCGGAAGTGCTCGCCGTCGACGCCGGTACTCCAGCTCGGCGAGAGGAGTACGCGGCATCGACGGGGGAGCCTGCCTGCTGCATCTGGACCCACGGTAAGTTCGAACTAAGGTACTTCGAATTCAGCTACGTTATTAACGTAGCTGAATTTG